AAAAAAAAAAAAAAATTCTAATAGTCTAATAAAAATTTTTCTTTATATTTCTTTTAGATGGGCCATTTAATCCTTTAAAAAGTATCAACGAAACCAAAAAAAAAAAGGAACAATACATTTATAAGGTATTTACTTTACACCATTTCAAAAATACCAAAACAAGTTCCAAATTTCACAAATCAAGTTTTATAATTTTTTATTTATGAAATAATGAATTATTAAATCAATTTATTATTAAATATTTAATTCTAATATAATATAATTACACAATCCCATCTCCATCACCCCTACCGATCCGGGGATTATTCTAGCTACCGTTCCGATCACAACTTATCTTCGGCGATCGTTCCGACGATTGCTCCAATCCGACTATTCTGATGACCGTTCCACCGCTACTTTGTTTCGGAAACCGTTCCGATTCCGGCAAGTGTTCTAACTCCGACAAAAAATTTTAGGTCGCAATTCAAAATTTTCAATAGGTCACAATTTGTTTATCGGTCACAAGTTAAAAATTTAGAAGTCACAATTTATTCATCGATCACAGATCGCAAAATTTATATGTTACAATACTTATTTTCTTTGGTCACAAATTGATAGGTCGCATATTTTCTTTGGTCATAAATCATAAATTTTACAGGTCACAGATCAAAAATTTTGTAGGCCACGAATTATTTCGAGATCACAGATCAATAGTTTTTTTTATAGGTTACATATTATTTTATTGGTCACGGGTCCAAAAATTACGGGTCACGGTTAGATTTTTTGTGTGATAACCCCCGAGACCACCAGCGACTTCTGTGACCACCCTCGTGACCAGCACCGCAACTGTCTCCAGAACCAACAGCATTACCCCGTGATCACCACCGACTTCTGTGACCACCACCTCACCACTGCCACCAGCCGTTGCCAACACCACCATCGCTAACAACCACACAAATCATTCACAGCCATATCATAACTTCTACAGATCACCACCAGATTCGCCAACAGCACTAGATCCACCGCAAAACCACCTCACCGCCACAAATATCCACCACCAACATCACCAAATCCACCTGCAATACCACCAACGAAAAAACCCCCAAAAACCATCTCGACCACCAACCACAAAACCACAGATCCACAATCACCAACGCTGCACAATCACCAACCATAAAATCACATATCCACAATCAGTGTAACACCCTAAAACACGGAAAAACAACAAAATCGTCGCCAGATCTGCCATAGCAAACTCAAAAAAAATAAAAAATTACAGATCTGCGTCGCCCAATCCACCGCCAAAACCACCCAAACATGGAAACATACTCTAATCTGGATTGTACAATTGTTTCATTCCCCCACGACACAAAGGCAGTGGAGGAAGAAAATGATGAGAATGAATCTTCAGCAACCACCACCACGCTAAACAAGAAGAGCACAAAACTTGATAGATCAAGAACTTTGATTTCAGAATGACGAAGGAGATGTCGAATGAAGGAAAAGCTCTACGCATCACAACCACCATACCCATCCAA